ATTAGACAATAGGATATTTTACACCCTCTAAGTGCATATCTTAATGTCATTATGCTTACACTTATTCCATTCATAATATCAATATTAGTCTTTAAAGATTTGGCTAAACTTTCATAAAAAATATTTAATAGAGCCTATGTAAACTCTTCATTATCATCATTAAACAACAAAGAGGTCCTTTTTGCCTCTTTAGGAGTCTCTTTGGCCCCACTTGCTATGCAAGTTTCATATCTCTAGGGTCTCTTTTGCCTCATTTATAATGTAGTGTCATATATGGGGACCCTTTTGCCTCACCTGTAATTATAAATTATACATCATTTTATAGTCAAACTTTACTTCAATTGATATTAACTAAACCTTACATATTCATAATGCAAAATTGTATTATTGTATGCTTTTATAACAATCTTTATGTTGTACTCTTTGTATACAAAGAATGTTCATACAATATGTAAGGAAATATATTTCTTTCCAAAAACATTATCAAATAGAAAAATATGTAGCTAAACATACTAAATCTTATTTTAAACTCACATGATTACATTATATACGTGGTTATTCATACATTAAAATTTGGATGTATAATCCCTTTCTATATATTGAATAAACTTAATATCATTTTTCCCTTAAATGAATTCAAAATTAACTCTCCATGCTTATAAATGAACTATTTAAATTTTTGATATAATTGCATTACTTGCCTCTTTAACGAACTGCCTCTTCCAAGTCTACACCACGTAACATTTTCCTTTGATAAACTATCTCAAAACTTCCTTTCTATATATATCTGATGAATCCTAAAATTACAATTATTATACACTTCTTTAGAACTTTTACTATTTCTTATAAACTTATAAGACAACCATGACTACTATAAAATAACTAGAATTTCTTGCCTCAATTCATTCTTTTCCTTCAATTCTCTATTATTCTCATTTAACTAGAATGTCTTCATTGAATGTAGAAACCAGTTGATCTTTAGCAATATACTCAAACAATTCTTTCCAAATCTTTTCGCATTTAATTGCAAGTTTGCTTACCCAATTTGTATTATTCTCTAATTTTTCGTTTGCATTCAGCACTCATATTTCCATCATCTTCTTCTTCTTCTTCTTCTTCTTCTCAACTTTTCTTTGTTTCTTACTGCTCCAAACCCTCACAGCCACTACTCTCACTCGTACAAAAGAAGTAAATGAGATAAACGAGACCCCCACACATAACTGCTCTCTCATACCCATTTGTTTGAAAGCACCTATTCAAGAATAACTACTAAATCTAATCTAATTATAATCTTTACTTAACCTTTTTTTATATTAAACAAACACTTAATATGAATACTTAATTTAACAAGAGTAAAAGTAACTTTAAAATAATTTTTCGTACCTTAAAATTTGAGTTTACCATTTGAACAATAATTTCTTATGATTTTTAAAAAAATTTTTAGTATAAAATTTCTTGGATTTGAAAATTTTCATACTAAAAAATGATTTAAAAAATACATTATAAAAGTTATCTCAAATAAAACTTAAGACAAGCTCCAATATAACTTTAACAAAACCTTCTCAGATTTCCCTTCTGACTGAAGATTCAGCACAATACAAATCAAACATAGAAATCATAATAATATTGTAAAAACAAAAGAAATAAGCGAGATAATTCCAACTACTTTATTTCTTCCTTATACAAGCAAAGGTTCAGTTGTTAATAAAAGGAGTTGATTCACACAACCAATCACTTTCTATTCCCTTTAGTAAACCTTAGTGACATGCGATGCATATGACAACCTATGTTGTCAAAGTTGTAGTTCTTACAAGGTAAATATTCTTTAATCTGGCAGTGCGCTCAAAAAAAAAAAATTTTTTTTTTTTTGCTCTAACTAAATGCATATGCTGTAATGTTCTTTCATTATTATTATTATTATTATTATTGCTTTAAGATAAGCAAATGAGCCTACTTCGAAAGCCAAGACAATCAAATAAAACTTTTTTCTTCAGCATGGAGACTGATAAATCATAAAGTATGAGAACTCTATTACCTCAAAGAAATAAACTTCTCTTAGGCTTACTTTTGAATGGTTTCCTTGCTGCTTCTTAAAGCAGTTTTTTAGTAAAAAGTTACTCTGAGAAGTGGTAAGAAAGTATTCCCAAACTAAGACTTAACCACTGAGCACAAAAATACTATAATATTGAAGAAACAGCCTTCTCTTAACCATTGAGCTACGGATCTTGTCACACCCAACAAAATATTGTGATCCATTGCTACTTTTAGCATCCACATGAAGCATTAGCTAGCAGAGAAAAATGCTTATTATCTATAGGAATAAGCAGGAGGATATAAACATTATTTCCTAGGAGACCATGCCCAAGGGAACATAACAAATGCCAACAGAAGAAAAATATGCTAAGAAAACTAACAATTCAAGGTCGAAGTTGCACACAATTTGTCAACAAATATAGCAGGAATGAATGAATCTATTTTGAGTTGCACAAAATAAGGGTGTTGACCATATTTAATCAAAAATAGGACTAAAAAAGATTCATAATGTACAGAAACGAAGAAAAGCATAAAAGAATTGTTGATTTCTTTTGTAAGCTCTATTCGACAGATCTTTCTTAGGCCAAACTAATATATACTAAAAATTGATAGAGATGCTTTTCCTTCGGGCTCATCTCCCAACATACTTCTCAACGTAAGCCTGTAACAGAACAGCACTAAGTCAAAAAGTACTATCAAAATCATAATGTTGATAATTTATTTCTTCAGATACAAGAACTAGAACACAAGGAAATAAACTGCAAAAGACAAGAAAGGAAATAAACAGTAAAAGATACTGACCTGCACAAGCTTGCTGAGTTTTGCTTTCGAGTTTGAGATATAAAGATCAATTTTTTCTTGTGTCTGAGGAGCATTATGACCCTGCACTGAACCTGTTACTTTGTCAACTACTTTCTTCACAATAGTATTGTGAGCTTCTTTGCTTAGTTGACCTTCTTTCCATGTAGGTTTCAGCATGTCCTTCACAAGCTCTACGAGAGCACATTTAAACATCCGAAATCCTTTGTTTTCTTTGGACCTTTTGGCATCCCCATCTCTACGAACTTCTGGATCACCATTCTGTAACGGTGCAGAAAGTTCTTCCTTGTTATGGAGCTTTTCAAAATTTTCTGCTTCCTTGGCTGAAGCATCACCACCCTCCTGAATCTGTTCCATTGTACGAATTTGTTTATGAGACTTCTCCAAAACAGTGAGAGCCGATGGAGCTGAGTGATTCAAATTGGTTATTGAACCTTGAATTTCCGTTAGTAGTGGAGCTACAACAGTCACAAGAGAACCAGGGCTGACGTCTGCAGGAGGTAATATTCCAGTTCTAGTTTGTGAATTTAGTGCAGCAGTCCCAAAGAACTGAACCAAGGATGCTGAAAGGTCTGTTATTTTGGCAGCTTGTTCAGTGGTTACAAACTTATGAGTAATCAGATTATCAGAATTGAACACAGAAGATTTAATTTCGGACAAATCGGCTTCTTGCAGAGGCTTCCCCGAAGCTATCTGTTTGGACTGCTGCAGGGCTTGGGCGTTCAGATTATTCTCAGATGTTAATTGACGATCCTTCTCATCTGAGCTAATTTTCTCTGGGTTTAAAGGAGGCTTAGGAGCCACAAGATGAATCTGCCCATTTGAAACAAGCGAAGGGAAACTATGCTGCTGGATCTGAACATTTTGAGGAAGAATTTGCCGAGTATCCCCAGTAACAATGATGTCCTGCCGGCTATGTCCAACTTGAGAAGGTAAATTTTGCAGAATCTGACCACTAACAGTGAACCTTGGCTCACTCTGTCCATTATGAGGTAGTGGATGATTCTGCTGAATCCGCTCATTGACAATAGGATTCTGCTGGTTCCCCACATGTGACTGCACAAGAAGACCAGCTTGAGCTTGCCTCCCATATTCAAATTTCTGTGGGTTTGATTCAGGAGGATGAGTAGAGCGATTCTGCATGTTGGCAATGAAATGATGAGCACCTGAAGGTTCATGAAGAGATGTGACTGGATTTTGTCCGCTTTGATTTATGACTTGCAGCATTTTCCCGTTCAAAGGAAGTAGAGGGACAAACTGCTGAGATGGAGAATTTGAAGCAAACTTTTGTGCGTGCATAACTTGAAGAGCAATTTGACTTTGCCCACTTTGCTGAAAATTCTGGCCAGCAGAAGGTATAGGAAGGATATTGTTGGCGAAGTCTGCGTCTTTTCTTCCACAGGGATGTAACCTGTCTTCAGCATTACTGAGTGGCCCAACCTGATGGAAGAACCTGCAGTTTTCACCGTGCCTGCAACGACCTTCCAAGAAGAACTTACAGGGGACACTACTAACTCTTTGAGGTTCTAAATGGCCAAAAGACGTTCTTCCATCCCTTGTATTATGGACCCTTCCACTCAATTCATCTCTAACTTTCCGCTCACCATCAATGGATGTCTCATGATGAATATATCTACATGATGCTCCTCGATGGCATCTATTCCTCGTGAAATCAAAACACGTTTCATTAGACATGTAATGTTTGCGTTGTTCATTATTGTCCCGCTTGTCATCGAAGTGGTCGTCATGCCTCCTGAAACTTTTTTCTCGTGAATAGTTGATTTTCTGCGTTGAATCAGTAAGGCTCTCCCTACTAACACATCCCTGATGCCTTCCTCTCTCAAATCTACTCTCCCTTTCATCTGGGGATGCAGAATCATGATGCCTTTCAATCTGTCTCGAACCACCATCCTCATGAAGGTAAATACATTCGCTGCCATGTCTACACCTTCCAGCAGCAAAATCTCTACATGCTGCTGCTGCAGGTCTTGTGCTGCATTTCTCTACCCAGCTTTCACATCCACGCTTGGAGGCATTGGAAGGGCTTGTGCTTCTGCAATATTACATCAAGAAGCATTAAATAGCAGCCAAAACAGATAACAATTTAACAAACGTGGAAACAACCATATAATCCATCCTGATCTCTCAGTTCCTGACCTTGAGTCTTGAGAAAAGCTCCTACTCCTTTTCCTGCATTCCATATTTTAAGAATAAGAAAGGTGGGTATGTTCCATCAAATAGCTTTTCTAACTTGGTAGGTTAGTGTGCCTTAAAACTACTAATGTCTATGAAAAAATATAAAAATAGGACTGTCCACTATATTCTATGTATAAGACCACTTTCCACACTCATTTCAAATAAAACTCCTTCAAATATAAGATCAATACAGGGGAAAAAAAGGACAGCACAAAAGCCACCAAAAAAACCTATTTTTATACTTCCTGTGCCATAAATTATTTTTGAAATTCAAATCAGTGGCATTGTTTGATACATTATAGGATATATTCTCAGAGCTTTTGTTTGATAAAGCACTCCATAAAATCCCTGAGTCATTGTTCTAACTACCAAACCTATTAATAGGAGTCTTCATATTACATCCTTGGAATACACCTAAATTCTAGTGAAGGTTAATGAAATTTGATATTAATAGTTTTATGGAGATAAGATGGACAATATTCATTTTTCGTTTGGATGTTGCATCACTAATAAAAAAAGGCAGGCTAAACATATGATAAAAAACTACTATCCTCCAAAAGAAATGGAGGTCTGGTATAACTTCTACAATAATGATATAAAGCTCCACCTCCTATTAAATCTTTATTTATAGACAAAACATTAGCCAAATGATAAAGCCCTAACAACTATAGCAAAAAAGCCTTCTTTTTTTCTGAGTGATTCTCTTGTACTGATTAGAAAAAATATTAACTTTGTTTTCCCCAACTCTTTGAGTGCCTTGACCTTGTGTCCTTAAAAAATAAATTAAATTATAATGCTTGATGCCTGCTCTATATCAACCTTCTACATGACACATAAAGAAGAAACTTCTCAAGCATATGAGTAGGATAAAAGTGATAAATATCTTTGAAGCAACAATATAGACACAAGGTATGCTAAGATTGGATCAGACATACTCTATTATGATATAGAACAGAGCAACCTTCAAGTTCAGCCAATTTATGCATTGGTTTATGTTTTCTGTTCATATCCTTGTTGACCTGTAAAGTTTAAACAAAAAAAAAAGAGAGAAAATCAAATCCCTTACCTGCCTCCCCACGTCGCACGATCCAGCGCCGCTCGTCGCACGTCGAGGCCATACCGAGCGTCGAGTCTCGCACGTCGCTCGCACGACTCACTCGAGTCGTTAAAAGGCTCGAGGAAACAAGGCCTTCGGCCTCTTCTCCACGCAAATTCTCTTCCTCACTCTCCGATTGCGCACTCGCTCCCTCACTCTCTCCCTGTCGCGCATCGCCGACTCCGCTGCGACAACTTTCCCCTTCCAGTCGGATTGGAAGTTGCGAGCATTTGATCTGAAGCCGCGACGGGTGCTCGCTTGCTGTGATCGCAACTTTCTCCCTTACCCGCGCCTCTTCGGCCGATTCCCGTAGAGAGAGAGAGAGAGAGAGAGAGAGAGAAGCTTCTTCTCTTACCTGTAGTCTCAGACCTCCGCTCCCCCTGCCGACTTCTCCGGCACCTCTGCGGCTGTTCGACGACTTCCCCTACTGTCGGATCGGAAGTTGCGACATTCTGATCGGGTGCAAGAACGGGAGCTGCCGACCGTGAAGTTAACTTACTCCCTTCGCGCGCTCCTTCGCCCCTTCCTTGGCCGTCCGACCCCGCTCTTCCTACGACTCTTCCTTCCAGTCGGATCGAAGTTACAGCATTTTGTTCGGAAGCAACGGGCAGGAGCTCGCTGGTTGTGTAGAAAACTTTCTCCCTACCGCACGTTTCTTCGGCCGATCCAAAGAGGGAGAGAGGGTGAGAATTTTTTTTTATATATAATATTATTTATTATAATTTTTATTAATTATGTTTAATAATTATTAAATTATAATAATAATTAATCATCTAATTATGATTAAATTATAATTATTAATTAATGATTAATTATAATTAATCAACGATTAATTATAATTATAATTAATTTATTAAATATAATTATCTAGTGATTAGTGGTTAATTATTACTAATAATTACTTAATTATTATTATAATTAATGTAAATTATGATAAAGAATATTAAAGAATTATATCTATTCCTTTGTTGCTTATGCGATCCCCCCTTTATGGTATCAGAGCCTAACAAGGTATTCATTCTAGACAACTGTTAACAACTAAGATAATTAAGACGCTGTAAGATAGGAATATCAGTTAGTAGCCCGTGTGTTCATAAAAGAGCCGAGAACAGTAGGCCATGAACTGAGGCGAACAGGATATCCTATTTTTACTGGAACTTAACTATTTTAGTAAGTTTGCATGTCTGATTGGAGACTTTCTGTTAGTAGTACTGATTATAAATCAGCATTAAAAGCAACTGAAATAATTGAACCACCTGCTATTGGGTTTGTAAACCCTGTCGAATCTTGTCCAAACACTGAAACTTGTTTCAAAACGTTGATCAAGCAGAACAATACAATTATTCAATTATTACTTGTCACTCTTGATCGTATTACTAATCTTGAAGAACAAATCTTACAAATAAAAGGACAAAAAGAACCTTCCAATTCATTTGAACAATCATTAGCATCATTACAAGATAAATTACAGGCTTTAAATCTTGGGGGCAACGAACGAAAAATTATCAAAACACAAAACAAAGGACAACTTTTTGTCTTCAAAGATCCAAAGAAAATTTTCCTTGAAGAACAAAGAAGAACAAAATGAGTTCTACAAGGACTACAACTCTTCCAGAACGAACTACTGCACCAATCCTACCAGAAACAGTAGAAGATCAAATACGAGGCTATAGGCTTCGATCACGAATGGCCTATGAGCTACAAAGAAGGTTGCCTCGACGACGTCAGTATCAAGCAACACTAGAGAGCCAACTAGATCCTGAAGCAGAACTACAACTTTCACAAAGAAGACGGGTCAATTTAGTGCCAGCAGAGACTTTATATGAGGATGGTTGGACATCCCAACATCATCGTGTCTATCAACACTACACTGAAGAGCGAGTTCTTGCACTTGATGAAAGTCAAGTCAATTTACCATTCATTCGCCAGCAGTCTTACCAACGACTAATACACGAAGGTATGCAACATATCCATCTTGGCCTTATTATGGTTCGTGTCCAAACTCTTCACCGACGAGATGCCGGCACCACAGCCCTTATCGTGTTACGAGATACCCGCTGGCGATCTGATGTCTCAATAATTGGGACCATGGAAATAGACCTTTCCTCTGGTACGCAACTTGTTTATATTGCTCCTAACCTTATGCTCTCTATACATGACTTTCTACACCACATCGAACTTGTTATTATGACCCATGGTTATGATGAATGGCAAGGCGGAGAATCTAATCTCCTTATTACCCGAGCTCTTGTTGCTCGACTTACTAATACCAGTCAAACCGGTTTTCGATATAACATCTCTGGCATTGCTAATTATCTAGCATCGCACGGTATTTCTGCTATACCTGGCCGACGACACACAATCACAGAATTGCAGGGCCGATCTTGGAACCTCCGACCCTCAACAACAACACTAGCACTACTTGTACCAACCATTCTAAATACCCATCAACGGCTTGATGGATCACTCCGATTATCCTTTTCCAGTTATAACCCCCAACCATTACCCCCGGAGATACCAACACCTGATGAATCCACAGAATTTGCCTTATTTTTAGCAGGAGATGAACCGCAATGGGATCCTTCTGATCCTGAACAACTAGATCTCGATGATGATAATGACCCATTCTCTGATCTCTTGTACCTCTATACCTATCTCAGTGAACCTCTCTTCACTGATACGGAAGGTGGTGGAGAGGTTCTCGAAACTGCTGAAACTGCTGCTCCAGAACCGGTGGCTGAACCGGTCGCTACGGTCGAAACTGCTACTCCAGAACCGGTGGCTGAACCGGTCGCTACGGTCGAAACTGCTGCTCCAGAACCGGTGGCTGAACCGGTCGCTACGGTCGAAACTGCTATATGGAACCAATACCAAAACCACCACCCTCTTGTTGGCACGCTTGGCCAACCATCTGGCAAATATGATTATCTCGTTTATTATACACCACCTGCTTATACATCCCTGTCAAACATAACCATTCAACCTACAGGCTGGGGAGATGAGCCATCTTTACCGCCACCATCGACCCCATCCTCTTCACCAAGCCAAACATGTTTCACACTCCAAAACCACTTGGAAGAATTTGATTACCCACAACTCAAGAAAATGTCAACAAAAGCAGAAAACCTTTATGCATCTGTATCCTCTAACTACCTCCCACCAAATGAACCCGTTATGGGACCCGTCAATTATCCCCCTGCAACCTCCTTGGCTGCAAAGCCCGATGCATCCTCCTCTTATCCATTTCAGTATTACAAGCCAAAGTCTTCAAATTTCCGAAAGACTTATCAATCCAACATGTGGACCCTGCCATCAGCCCACAATAATCAAGGTGTCCTACTTATCTTACCTGATGATTTCTCTCTATATGATGATGTAATTTCCCGCTGGGAATCCATCACATTAAATCTGCTTAGTGAGAAGCAATTTCCAGACAATCGATCCAAGGTATTATTCATTGAAAATTTACTCGGAGAAATTGAGAAGAAAACTTGGATACAATGGCGTATGGCATTCGAACCTGAATTTGAGCATCTCATCAATATTGCCGATGATCCTCAAAATGTTCTGTCCCAAATCAGACAAATCATCACTCTGGAAGATCCCTATCAAGGATCAACAGAAGAACAAAATCGAGCATATCTAGATCTTGAAAGATTATCTTGTGATCAAATCAAAAATATGTTCGAATACATGAATGATTACAAAGTCTTGGCCGCAAAATCCGGAAGAATGTACATCAGCTCCGAATTATCCGAAAAATTTTTCAAAAAGATGCCACTAATTCTTGGAGAAGAAGTTGAAAAGGCCTTTAAACAACGCCATCCAGGGAATACCATTGGGGTATTACCACACATCAAATTCACTTATCAATACTTAGCTGATCTTTGTAAAAAGGCAGTCATTCAAAGAGGAATCAAATATTTATCTATCTGCAAGAAGATCCCTGTACCTGGATACTATAACCAGCAAAAGAAGTATGGATTACGAAAATTCAAAAACTACAAAGGCAAACCACATGATTCCCATGTT